CAACGAGGATTTCCATGACCATGTAGAACCAGCCCTCCAAATCGTCCTTCGGCGCTTGATCCCTCATTGTTGCTGATGCTAGTGGTGAGAACGGATACGTCCCAACACATGGCCCACATGCTCGACGTTTCAGTTGTGTTCCGTCTGCATTTCTGAGAAAATGACGTCAAGAAGTGACACTTCAGCGTACTGCGTAAACTGCTGACATTTGATAACCCGTTATGGCATCAAAGGGCGGAAGTGGTGTAGTGGCAAGTGGCACGCTTACCACGCGAGCGGTCCGGGGATCAAATCCTGGGTCGTGAGTCGCCCGGGCCAACCAAGCCTTCCATCCCTCCGGGGTCGGTTAATTGGTACCAGACTTGTCTGGGAGGATAAAAACACTGACTTGTACATCGGCTGGCCCCCGCAAGTCATTGTATAGGCCACATCGCATTCAAACGCCACTACGAATGTACAAATGGAAGTAGAATGCGTGCCGCATCCCAAAAAGGGATTGATCAACGGCAAATGCTTTATCCCTTTTAGGCACCAAAAATACAGCCTAATTCCGCTAGCCCTCAAACTACTCTATCCATTCAATTTCGCCGATAGTTGTAATTGGAATTAGCAGACTTTCGAGTTGCTCGAATTTCCAACCCCAATTTCCGGATGCCATTGGTCACCATTACGCTCTCGGTTCAAGTGGGGCGAATCCCCTTCGTTGCGTTTTGCCCATTACTAGACGATAAACGCTATTTCTATCATAGAGGATCACTACTTGCAAAATTGAATGGACTTCACAAACTTGAATCGCCTTGTTAAGCCGAAATCGAGCATGTAGATTATTGAAGACTCATTTCCCAGTCCAACAGCAAAATTCTGAGATTTAACGTCTCTGAAACCTTGCACTATAAATTTTTCAGGAATTTAAATAAAATTAGAACTGAATTACCTATTGAGGTAGCCGGCATCATGCAACTTTTCTAAACGGTCCAGGGTTTGAAGAGCGATACGGTATGCAGTAGCTTGGGTGAATCTGGAAGAAGGGCCATGAGTTAAACTCATCTAAGAATGCATAGGCGCACAATAAGGAAGCAGTAGGCGAATTAGGAATAGAAGCAGAAACAAGATAACGGTATATCTTTTCAATCACTACCAAATCCCAAACAAAGGCATATTCAACGATCGAACTGGTATGTGTTATTGATCTCGAAAATAAGCGCAGTCGTAGTAAGTGGTAATAAATGTGAACACAAAACAGATAAGAACCCAACAAAAAGACGGTGAGTACCGGAAAAGCTCAAATCCTACCCACACGGTTAGTGCCCTGTGTGGTTCCACGGTGCTTAGCGGTTTTTACTTACTTTAAATTCTTAAATTCTTTCATTACGGGTGAACCATTCATCACAATTACACTCATTTTCAAACACATAATATGCAGTGTTCGGTCGCGGAAATAGCCTATGCCACAACCCGGGATTGGGTCAGTGGAGTGAAGCCATAGCGCGAAAACTGTAGAGGAATTGACAAGCATAATGGCCGTACTTATGCCACTATACAAAATCGCAAGGCAAATGCGCAAAGGTTTCATTTTTGACCCATGGTTCCGCACAAAAATTGACGTTTAGGCCAATTCCAGGCTTCGCTTAGCCTTCTTTTCGAACCGATTCTTTCTCGCTGACGGTTCAGGATCATCCAGCTATCTGTTCGCGGAGCTTTGCGATGGAAGAAAAGAGTTCCTTTCGAAGAAGTTTTCATTGGTTTTTTCTCTAGTGTTTGACATTGCTTTAATTATTGCAAACTGCTAACGATCTTGATAGGTAATAGTGAATTCTTTATCGAAGGATAAATGAAATACCTTTCTAGAGGATAGCCAGATTTAGCGCTCTCCAGGCGGGACGACGGGCGCATTACGACTATGGAAGCGTTATGATATTCAAGGGTATATGTAAATCATATTTGATCATTCCGCAATTTCATAAGCGAAATTAGCGGGCGCAGGGCCGATCTGTTGACTGTGACTTTAGATGCGATATCCATGAGCAGCAATCTGCGGGGAAACAAACGGATACTACTCATTGACAAGTATGTCTCAAGGTACTGCAAATGAACTTTTTGTTATTGCTGGGAAGAATGAGCGTTTCAGCGTTGTGGATAGATAGCAAGTGGTGTGCTACAGACATTAAGGCAAAAGTCGGGCCATGAAGGGGGTATTATGGCGATTGAAACTGAGTTTAGAAATGCGAAGTGGGACGATAGTGGGGAAAAAACTGAGAAAAACCGTCGACAAGGCCGTTAACAAGACCCTCTTCCCCACTAGTAATGAAGGAGGCTGGCTTGGGCAAGAGGGCTTTCCTAACGCAACCGTTGTTTTCTATTTCACTCATCGCAACATCTGTCGTAAAATAATCCGCCATGACGATAATAAGAGTTATTTTTGGGATTGCGTTATCACTTTCTCCTTCTAGTTGATTCTCAAAAATGTTCCGTCTCCTCGCAATTGATTCCTCGCGCATCTTACAAATGTGAGCAATAAAGAGGTCAAGAAAGTGGAGTAGAAACGAATAGGCGAGGAGTGCGCATACTGAGGAGGTCGTTTGTTTCCTTAAATTGACATAAAGGCAAGTGCGGGCCAGCCACCTAAGAGCTTACATGGCTAGAGTGTGTGGCACAAGTGCGAAGTTAGCGACACCTGTAAGCGAAACCCGTCATCAGACTAGGCCCATGGATTTTAACAGACTTCACCAATAACATGGTCCGCCCACCGATCGATGTTTTGTCTGCGTCGCCGCCTTGATCTGCTATGCTTTCTCTTCTCGGAATTCTCTACCACTCTCTGCGCTCACATTGTCTCTCATCCCCCTTCCTGTCTTTTGAACTTCTCCACCAGCATTATGTAAATGTGTAATTCATAGCAGGTCAGGTTTTCTTTATTTTTCTCAATTGGCAGTCCACCTCTCATCCCCACTTACACATTTGAGTGGAATCAGTCCATCAATGTAATCCTGATTCTTGCCTTCAAATGCCAAGTTACGATTAGAAGGCAACTCATTAAAATCAAGGTAGAGGTGATCAGGGTTGCCGGGGCGATTAAGAGGAAGCTAGAAAAACGGCTCAGAATTTAAGAATGAGCCTTCCTTTTAACATAGGCTTTTTTACGCGTAATGACGATTTTTCGTGTGCATTTTCGAATGCTAACGTTCTTTAGATAACGATTAGGCGAGTGGTTAGACCAGTCGGTGGGTGTACCGCGCCGAGAGCGCGCTAATGGCGCCGCGGGAAAGGCTATGCTATATAGCTGGATTCACGCTGATGCCTTGCTGCGAAATGCGTGTCGGACCCTTAGGAGGTCCGCCTGTCTTTCCGCTGGTAAGCTTCTCCTTCCTCGTCCTTCGCGGTCTCCTCCTTTGAAGCGGATTGTTGTACCACAGTGCACCTATTATTAGAGTGGACCCTTATTTTTCTTCAAATACGAAAACTGCACGGTAATGTGCAAGTTATCGAAAAGCTCTGCAGCTGAAATTGAGAGGCAGTGGATTGGGCGTCAAATTTGCATGAGATTCATCAAAGTACACTCGCTTACGTGAGTTCACTAAAATATTTTCAGTAGATGAGAATACCTTGAAGAGTTCAGTCCTTCCGGCAACGATCAGCGTCGGAAATCCTACAGTATTACGCATTTGTGACAGCACTGCTACGTCGAGCTTCAGTACTGGTCTGAATTGCGAAGGGTACTTGGGTGAATGGTTGGAATGTCGCAGTGCATTTGGTTAGCCGATCTGTGGGCGCCACTGGCTTTCTCACAGGTCAGTTGTAAACGCTGATGAGTTTCTACTTCAAGTTTCACTTACCTTTCGCAACCACGTTGCTTTTCCACTTTCATGGCGTACAGTTTACGCTTGTCGTTAACGTCGCGTAGCTGAACAGCCACGTTATCAATCGTTGAAGACTCCCCTACAATGCCGTCAACTAACCATATAAACATGTGAGAAAACACCTTCGTAAATCCTTTTAAGCACATTCCATTTATGTCCTTGAAATGAGATCGTGGTTCCCGGCTGGAAAACTTTATGTGAGTCTTGCCTCCATTTCCCTCCTCAAATCTCTTACCTTGGGAAGTTCCAATTCGTCGTTGTATAGCATTTATTGAGTATATGGATTAGTTGTTGGCTAAAAAGTGTAGGAAAAAATACAAAATAAATGGAAAATACGCACACGAGATGGGCCATAGAGAAAACCTGCCTTGTTTTTAACACTGTAGTGTTTTGAGGATGGAACAATCCATGCTTATACGCATGTCAAACGAATGCAAAGGGTCAAGTCGTTAAAATATCAGTTTGATTATTCAATCAATCGTCAGTATACTTTTTCTATGTCAATGTTAACACAGTGGCAAATCCGCGATTGCTATGCCCACTGTCAAGGTCAAATCTCGGACCGCATCGTGCACAAGCCAACCAAGCTTTCTATCCTTTCGGGTAAGTTACGAGTTTCACCTAAGGGATCAAAACACGAACTTTCAAATGAGCTGGAATACAGAATTCCTTGTATAGGCTAAACCAAATTAACCTGAGCGGAAATTGAATGCGCGGCATCCAAAAAAGGACTAGTTCATTTCTCCAGCGTATACTTCTCATTGACATGTCTAACGATAACGTCAAGCCCCTTCAGAAGGGGGATTTTACAACTCCAAAACTCCGCTCCGCACGTCACGCCACATTTGAAGTGTTCCATTTAGCGAGCTTTTCTAGGATATTGCTCGCAATATATGGCATGAGAAACTAGGTCAGGGAGTACATAGAACGGTGGATGGTACACCTTCCAACATGCTTCAGCTGGGACTGTTTGTTATCCTTAAATCTGGATTCTGGTACTCCATAGTGTTGATTGTGGCTGCGGTTAAATACGGGCTCGAGGGAGGTCGCACTTACAACGGGAGGTTCTCCATCGAACTCAGCGGCGCCGCTATGTCCTTGCGAGGATCGAGCTCTCATCACCCGTTATAAGGGTCAGTAACAACCACGTAGACGAGAACTTGCGCCCTTCCAGTCGGAGGGAGCTGTCTCAGAACATTATGATGGGGAGTGTCTGGTCTCCAACTTATGTCAGGTCCAAGGATGAACATTGCGGCGACAGGGTCTTCGGCTGTTTCGAGGGGTAGTGAGCTTCGCAATTGACGTAGCCGTGAAGATGACGGGTAATGAGCGTTAGCGTTGCACTTAGCTTTGCAGTTCTTCCGTAGCTATCTTGAATTGTCGTGGTGACGATTGCAACTTGATGGTCTGCATGATTGAATTGCACTGCCAATTTCGCATACAACAGAGCAGGCTCTGGAGCTTCAGCGCCTTTTGCAGAGGAAAATGACGCAAAATTAGCCCTCGACAATTTCGGCTTGCCTATAGAACTTACATAGACCTATACACCCTCCTGGTGGTAACCATGTGAATGCGCTACAACTTGGTGAAACGCTTCTCGTATCCATTCAAGACTGTGTTCGGTAACGTCGCGTCAAATAGCAAGCGTTTACATTACACGGTTAGAAATATTCTCCGAATCTCTTCAATTCCTAAGTGGGCATCAATAGTTTGGGGCTTCGAAATTTTACATGTAAAATTCGAAATGTGAATTGAGGGTGCACGTCCAAATCACGTCGAGAGGCCAGGACAACCCCGCATATACATAGATCCTAAATCGTACTGAAGGAGATCACATAGTCAGAGATATTTTAGATACAACTAAGTCTCAAAGGCCAAGCAATGAGGCAATTTTTGACTGGCCTAATATTTGAATAGCTTTTGATGACCAGTCAGCGAGTTGTTTATTCAGACTAGCCAGTCATTTAAAAGCTGATCTTTAACCATAACCCGACAGCAATGTCCACGTTAAAGAATATCTGCTTGTTTTTGATGTTAAAGGTGAGTTCCTCAAGAGGTCGTTTCTACATACTTGCACACTTCTTGTCTTCAATAGTAGCGTGACGATCTCAAATTGACCAAATTTTGACATTGCTACGTATCTAGCAGACGCGGAGGTAGTTTACCTGCTTACCCTTATTATTACCCCAACGGCTCATTTTTTTTTTTGAACAATTAGATCGTTCCAAAGCCACGAATAGAGAGTGCCAGAGAGTTTTACCTCAGAACCTACACAGATAATAAAATTCTCTTATGAATACTTAGGTGAGATAATTGAACAGTCCTGCTGGCCTTCTGCTATGGTTGACCAGCACCTTCCTAGATAATCGCACCGGCTTTCGATCTGTTAGGCAAAGGTATAGATGTTTTGATCGGTGGAGGAATCGTGAACTCGGTCCCTGTGATTGAAAAACGGTGCCTATTATTGATGTCACATTGGTCGTGCAATTAGCTCGAACTTATCCTCAGCCACCTCTAAAAACGATTCTACTGGTCTGAAGTGCCTCCATGAATCACTGATTAGTCGTTCGCAAGACTGTAGAGTATTATCCCTGAAACATGCCGACAAATGGCTCTTTTTTGATAGTGAGGGGATTCCCAGCATATGGTCCGACAGGAAAATCTGGATGCATTCAGGTGCTGGCCCAGTGTACAGCCGAGGAGCTCTACGATGGATCCTACGAGTACGACGATGAAACGAGCACCACGACAACAACGGTTGAGTTCTATATGATTGTATACGCTATGTTCTATTCTTGCGACGAAGCCTCTTTGAAAACCTGGCCATGAGCTACGCGTCATTTGCCCAATACTATGATCAACACTTTTGTCTACTTTGCGTTAACCTACAAAATTCATAGCCAGCTTATATCGACCTATTAAACAAAGCAATTTCACTTTTCCAGCTTTCCTAGTTTTTTATTACCAGATTAGTCCCCCGTCAACCGCCGGGACCTTCCTTTCCTGCGCAAGCTTTCTATCCTCCGCTATGGTCCCTTCCTCCTGTGACACCAACACCTCCTGGAAGTGACGCGTATGCAACACAATGGTGTTTCATACAGTAGAAGGGACACAATCATGATATGACGGTAGATTTTTCGCTTCCCTTCCTCATCCTCCCTTCCTCTCTCCACTGCCCTCCAGCTGCCACTGCAGCACCATGTGGAATGAACGGAAGTGTGCTAAGCAGGTGTTTATATAGCCCTAAGAGTGTTATCACAACTATCCTGCTACAAAACATTGATATCTCAAATCCTGTAAGCTACCCGATTTGTTAGCGGTTTGTTTATCCCATGAGCTTCCTTCTCACTCACTTCATTTTGCGGACGGACACACATACATACATACATACATACATACACACACACACATACAGACACACAAACCGACACACAAAGTTAGCGCTTTATAAAATAGAAGGATTTTATTCCTAATGCTTTCCGTATCACCCACTCACACACATATCATGTGGACTTAACAGATACAGATCGGTCCACGACGTATTTACAAATTAGCAAACAAACCGATACTCTAAGTGAGCAATTTGTCCCCCAGAGTGGTACGGCGATTGCCACGAAGTGACAAATTGCATCATCTACTTGTTTTACACAAGGCGGCACTCATATCGTTGAGGGAGGGACATTCAAGTGGGTTAGACGCTTACAGCACTCGAGACCAAGCCTTAGGGAGGGGAAGGGGTTCTAGGGAAGGATGTGAGCACATTGTGTTCTCCCTAGCGTTTCCCCCTCTCCTGGGCTTAGTCCTAGTGTCATCTACACCATCGGCCTGTCTTGAATGACCCCTCCCAGGACATGAGCGCCCCCAAGGCAAGGAGCAGACTTGACAGCAGCCATTTCATCGATGATCATGGAACTTTTGACTTTATCCCACACAGAAAATGCGCTGAGAGAAGGTGTGACCTCCAGTGAATCCACGATGATTGTAGAGTATTGCCTACACCTGCGCTGATGCCGTCGAGAGTGTGGAATAAGCCTAGGATTAGGGGAATGAGAATTGCTCAGAACACCCCTACTCTTGCTTTCCCTCAAGGTTTTGTCCTAGGGGACCAGGCACGAAAGGGAGGTGTTGGCTGTATGGCCCCCCTCCATAATGACCGACGACGCCCACATGATTGCGCAGCTCTCGTGAACCGATTACCAAAGAGTGGAGTTTTATATCGTAAGTCGCCGGTCCATTGGTTATCGGGAACGATTCAGCAAACTCAGCTGCTGATTAGTCAACAACTTAGTCTAGTGTTTCCGAGATCCTAACAAATCGGCCTTAGGCACCCACTATTTGTTTCGTAGGCGCCAAGATAATGAGTTCGCGAAGCTGAAGAAACCCACCAAACTTTGTTGTGAAGAATTAACAAAGTGAGGGCGATCACCCCAAATGATGTGTAATGTATATCATGTGATATCATGTCATTGATCGAATGGATATGCAATCATTGGAGAAAGCCTTCTGCTATGAACTCGTAGTTGTGAGCGGTCGTACCCTGAAACAAGAGGAGCACCACCTCCGTGCTCCAATTAGGACCAAGTGTCCTGAAGAGGTCTTACTAGAAGTCCTGTAGGCGCTCACGTCGTTAAGGTGGAGTGGGGCATTCGAGTGAGTAAGCAACTAATTGTAAGCAACATTCGAGCAAGTAAACAACATATGTTTACTTGACCAAGTCTCAGAGAGGGGACGGGATTGTGTGGAGGATGCGAGCAATTTGTGTTCTCCCTGGCAATTCTCCTCTCTCCTGACCTTAGTCCTAACGTCGTATGTGCCTACCATCGACCTTGTTTTGAATGTCCCCAAGGTCATGAAAGCCGTCGTGTTAAATTCAAAGTAGGCTTCTGTAGCGTGACAGTGAGTAAACACTGTGCGACCCATAAAATAAATTCTGTACACGAAATAAGCTTCTCAGGAGAAATCTCCCATGGAATGAAACAGGGATGAATGCAATTTCTTCATTGTCGGCCCATAGCCCCCCCCCCACTAACAAGAAAGGTCTTTCAGGACATGAGAGCGTTTTTTTTTTGAAATGGTCGTCTGTTGGATGGATGATGTAAGGCTCTGTTGAGAGGATACCCCAGAGAATATGTCCATTTTTCCCTGAAAGCCAAGAATGTCAACACGGGAAGGAATGGTCCAAAGTCCAATCTCCGCGATTGCAAATTTTTGCAGTTTATGTTGACGCCCCAAATTGCCGCAGAACACGACGATGACATCTATTCTCGA